CCTCGGCGATGTTTGTCTGGAGACGCAGCAGCGCATCGACCTGAGACCTGAGACCACGCCAACCTAGGAAAAAGCTGAACAGCCTAGAGCCTACGTTAACGTTAGGTCACCTACTCTGCAAGGCTTTAGCTTAATGTAGCCTACAGACCTGTTCAGTTTTTTTCTTGTATGAGGTGAGACCAGGGGCCAGGCATGAATGTGAATCTTTGCTTCTTGTATATACCATGGCAGCACACCACTTCCACCCCTATAGACAAACTACTCGCAATAGGAAGAATCCAAGCGTCGGAGATGATGGCAATGCAGCACTCACGATAATGGCAGCGCGGAGGGTCAGCGCTTAAGCATGACATCACCTTGGCGTGCGGCTACGTTGTACAACAGACAAGTCTCAGCGGCACGAGCGAATAGGTAGACGCAGGGACATTTACCCCTGGCGCTTCGGCCTGACGGGGAGTAGCGCCAATATGTGGATAGATGATATCGGTGAGTTAGCATGGGATCACGATGTTGGGCTGGAGCGAGGGAGGGTGACAGCTCGCTTGACAATGGTGTGGGCTAGCGACGTGCTTCATGGTGCACTTCCGTGACTTAGTCCGGGGATCTGCGAGTAGTCTGAGACGAGACGGCTATTCTTGTCTCTCGCACGCATCACATTCGGTGTCAACGTGAACACCCGCGTGCTGCCGAAACCGTGAAAACTCCAGTAGGGGTTCCTTTTGGGTGTAGACGTTGAAACGGTCTAGTTGTTTTTGAGCAGGACCCTGGATGCGGTATCGAAGTTGCCAGGCTGGGTAAGGCGGACATGGATTGGCTGTCTGGCGGCTGCTGGCAGACAGACACTCTGCAGTGGTGATGCCCCCCTGTGTGGCGGAGCAGCTGGAGGGCGCCGAGTCGTGCATCTTGGGCGCGCTCCGGGCTAGTGACATTGCAGTTAGTTGGGGTGCTGGCTGGACATGTGCATCACGGCGCGAATGTGTACCTCTACTATTTCTCCCTGAGACCATGGTGCTTGATACTCCTTCGCCGCAGCACCAACACGCCCGACTCGTCCGCCTCGCAAACCTTGGGCCCTTGGATGCCCGCACCGCCTCGGCGCCCTAAGCAAGCCGTGGCAATCGTGCTAACCCGCACCTCCGCACTCTGACAAGGTTCGCAAATGGTGAGTAGCACGTGTCTAGCCTCAGGCAAACATCTACCACATATTGTGGTGGCAGTCTGAGGTCGCCATTGTTTCGTTTCCTCTATTCCCCGGCAAAGGCCCGCGGCGCCAACCCGACGTTCCAAGGAGCCCCCAAGCTGACCAAGTCTCGTACCCCACAGGCAACCGACAGAGCCAGAGAGCTGGACCGCCTATATCAGATGCGAAACCCAGGCCCGCGCCGGGGGCATGCGCCGCAGATATCCATCAGCGATGACAGCCACCACGTCACCGAGGCCATAGGCGACATGTACGGCGGCGACAGCGACACCGACGCCCCCAACCGCCGCAGCCTCCGACCCCTAAGCTTCGTCCCCAGCCCCAACGGCGACTCGATCCAGTCCTTTGGCGCCTTCGAGGCCTTCGACCCCTTCCCCAACGCGCCCCCCGCGAGGTCCCCGCTGCGTCCCCAGATGTCCTTCGAGAAGCCCCAAACGCCCACGAGCCCCAATGGCACCGCGCCTATGAGCCAGAAGCGGGCGTCGGTCGGGCGACACCCGTCGAATGGCGGCCAGATGTCCCCGCCGCTGTCCCGCTCGAATTCGAACACGGCGTCGCACCAGTTCCCGCTGAACAACCTCGACTACGAGAACAGCCCGGCGGGCCTCGCCCAGGAGCTGAGCAACCTGCAGGCCATACGGAGGATGTCCATGGGCGTTAACAATGCCGATCCCGATCTGCCTTCGTTCCAGTCCGCAAACTCACCGCCCTCCCCACCGGCCATGTCGGAAGAGGACGAGTCGAAACTCTTCTGGGTACCCGCACGCCTGCATCCCGAACTGGCGCCCATGGAGTTCAAGACGTTCATCGAAGACAAGATTGACAGGACGAGACGACGCTCCGGAGACTCGGACTCGCTATCTCCGGATGGCGCCATGGGGCGTCAGGGCTCGGGTGGAGGGCTGCGGCGGAAGAAGTCCATGCTGTCCAGGCAGATTGATACTGGCTCTGGCTACAAGGACGGCGCCGAGAGGCTGGAGAGGAAGCGATCCGGCGCGCAGCCCAACGGGGGCTTGTCGAACCTCCAGGAGCTCGAGCACATACAGGAGGACCCGGTGGCCTTGATAAGACGGATGAGCATTGATCAAAAGGGCATGGCTGGGGAAGGGGAAGAGGGCGCCGACGGGATGCCCATTGTGCCGGGCAGCAAGATGCGTGGTCTGGGCACGCTCAAGAGATCAACACACACTACGTACAGACGAGGTAGTCTGCGGAAAGGCGGCCCGCCCCTCTCACGGCGACTCGTCTCTGGTCGACAAGGAGACACCGACACGGAAGATTCCCCGTCCACCTCGCCCGTCCACTCCACCGAGAGCATACCCGAAGTCCCTCCTCTCCCAGGTCTCAACCGCGTTCAGTCGGAACCCGTTAACTCGGCGTTTGAAGGATCGTCCAACAACTTCTCGCGGCCTGGGGCAAAGCGGGCATCTCCCAGCTATGGCGGCGAGAGACCTGGTTCATCGGAGGAGTACCCCAGGTCAGCTTCTACGGAGCCTATCTCACAGCAGGAGCGAAGTTCTCCGCAGCCCAGGCAGTTCCACTCGAGAATCGCCTCCAACGGCCGGACAACTGCACCTTTGCCAGGCTATACACCTCCGCCGCAGCAGGTACCCCAGATCATCGAGACACCACCGCCACAAGAACAGAACCGAACACCTCAGTTTCAGCTACCCGAACGTCACTCCTCTCGCCAACCTCCGCCTCAAGCCCAGCAACAACCTGCAGGCCCTCGCCATTATCCTCAGCCTCAACAGCAACCCCCGCAACAACAGCGCCAGCCCCAGTCGTCGAGTCGACCGAACCGTCATGCACAAGCTGCCCAGTCGTCCCCGATCAAGCCCGCGCAATCCTTCGATGATCTAGTAGCGCACCCTTCGGCGATGCCCGGCCAGAACAACAGGGTTGATTCGTTATCCATAATCCCGAACGCACCAGAAGAGAAGAAGCTCGAACCGAAGGCCAAAGATAAGAAGGATAAGGATGGCTCTGAGGGCGGGCAAAGGAAGACGAGCTGGGGCTGGTTCGGCGGTGATAAGGAGAAGGAAAAAGACAAGAAGTCAAAAGACAAAGACTCAGAAAAAGAAGCCCCGAAGAAGGTCAAGAACAAGCTCAGCAAGTCCCAGGAGAAGGAGAAGGACAAGGGTCATGACGACACGAGACTGGACCTCCTGCAAACATCGATACAGGGCGGCGGTCGTGGTCGAGAGAGCGTAGTGCTGGATCGCGAAAGCGTCAAGCTGGAAGAAGAGCGAAAGAAGGAGAGCGCCAGAAAAACATCCAGCGAGGGCAAGAAAGAGAAGGAACCTGGACTGCTGTCCTCCATCTTCGGAGGAGGAAAGAAGAAGGGCGAGAAAGAGTCGTCCCACAAGAAGAACGCCTCACGTGGATTATCGCCCGAGCCCCCGCCACGCATCTTAAAGCCTGATATCGACTACAACTGGACCCGATTTTCGATCCTGGAAGAACGCGCGATTTACCGCATGGCCCACATCAAGCTTGCGAACCCCCGCCGCGAACTCTACTCCCAAGTCTTGCTGTCCAACTTCATGTACTCGTACCTCGCCAAGGTCCAGCAAATGCACCCGCAAATCTCCATCGGCAACTCCAAGCAAGCAAAGCAAGCTCAACAGGCTCAGCAACAGCAACAAGCCGCGCAGCAGAAGAAGGAGCAGCAACAGCAGCAACATCAGCAGCAGGCCGCTCAGCAATCTCAGCAGCAGGTACAGCAGCAGCAGCAACCGCAGCATCAACAGCAACAGTCGCAGCCTGAGGAGTTTGCTCAGTATCAGCGGTATCAGCAGGTAAGACATCCATCCCAAAGGCGTTGTTTAGAAGAGTGAAACTAACGAAGAACGCAGCAGCAACAACAGCACGAGCAGCAATCCTCCGAAAAATCCTCACAAGAATGGCCCTCTGTACACCAACAACAAGCCAACGGCGGCCTCCATCAACAACAACAAAACGGCCAACACCACCAGCAACAACAACAACAGCAGCAACAACATGCAAGAGGCGTATCTCAGCAGGGGAATTCTTATAACCAGAACCCGCGTGATTCGCATCATTCGAATCATAGTGCGAATGGCGGCGGTGGTGGAGGTGGATATAGTGTAGCGAATACGCAGAATTATCTGGGGCAGAGTGGTAAAGGGGGTGGTGGTGGGATAGGAGGGGGAGGAGGAGGGGGGTATAGTAATTATAGTGATGAAGAGGGGGGGAAGAGGGGGGATGACGATATGTGGTAGTGGAATGATTGTGGATGGACGGATCGGACGTTTAATTCATATAAAGCGGGAATGAGGAGGGCGAGTATGGAGATTTTAGCCCGCCGACTTTTTGGCCTTGAACTACGCCTTTCTCTTCATCTTTTCTCTTGATCTTTTGTGGGTTCGCTTTACTTGTATGTACATTTATTCGGGTTTAATATCTAAAGCGACGGCTGGCGTTGAGGCTGGCGTGGGCATAGAGAGACGGATGGATGAGGAGATGGTATGAGATGGGCTTTTACGCTTGACGGTCGGAAGATTGGGATGGGGGATTACAGATAATGTAATTTTTTGAAACCTCGTTACTCTCGTTTTCGCGCAAGTTGTTTCTTCTACCGACCCAGCTCTTCCAGCGCGTTCAGGAAGGGAGGGATAAAGGAAGATGTTTGCCGATGAAGCAAACGTGGAAAGAGATGGAGCAACGGGTGAGTGTTTATCAAGAGGAAAGGGAGCGTGAGTTGGAATCTGTCACCCATATTACCATCCAGCCTTTAGAGTATCGTCAAACGAAACACCCACACACTGAATCCAGCATGGCAAGGACAAAAGAGGTCAGACCCAGCAAAAGCCAGGAGAACAAAGTCGCAGCACCAACCGTATCAGACCCAGAACCAGAACCAGACGACTTTCCGGAGCTTGAAGGTGACGATGATGACGATGATGTAATTGCGGTGGAGCAGCAGGAGGATGAGGAACTGCCAGGAGAAAGATATGACGCTGAGGACTCGTACCACGAACCTGAAGAGACAGACGACGATCTTCTACAGCTTCCTAAGCTTGCCGGTGTAGCAAGAAAACCGCAAAAGCATGTGCCTGCCAAAACTGTTGTGGTCATTGACGAGGGTGATGATGGGGAAGAAGCTGAAGCCTCGGACGACAACGACCCTGCCGATAACGCGAACGCTCCTCCTGCTCTTACTGAAGCTCAACGACGAAGGCAAGCGGCCGCTACCATCAAGCGAAACTGGGGCTTTGGAAGCATTCGAGAGTGCATCCCAGAAAAGAAGTGGCTTTCACGCGGACTCAAGGACTACGAAGACGAGAACTGGCAACTAGATACCATTGACGAGTTCGAAGGGCTGTCAAACGAGACTCAAGGACAAGGCGATGCAATGAAAGAGCAAATTGGCTTGTTCTTCGATAAAAGGGGGAGTACAGGGGCTAATCGAAGGATAGGGGGCAGTGCCGTAGAGAAGGAGAAAAACTTGGTTGATGATATCAAAAGGCTACGTAAAGGGGACAGGATTGACCCGGAGACGCATAGAGAGATACCTGCGACCCCTCGGGGGGCTGCAGCGGCATCAGGACCTAAGAAAAAGAGGGGAAAGCCTCAGAGCTCTGCAAAGCCGGCAACGAAGGACAGGAGCAATCTAGGACGAGCCAGCAAGGACAAGCCGAGCAAGCGGAAGTCGGACGCCATGGCGGATGTCGACGACGAGTCAGATGATGAGGACAATGGAGTTCAAGGTGGCGGCAAGCCGAGCAAGAGGCCAAGGAAAGATGGCCAGCAACCAGCTGAGAAGCAGAGTGGAAGACAGCAAGCATCAGACCCTGACAGCTCTCTACGCAACCGAATACGAACATTACAGCAGCAAAGAGACGCACTCTATCTCATCCGCCAGAACTGGAGCATCGAATCTGTCCTGGAATTCTTGCCACAACGCTGGTTTGAAATGGGCGAAGACACAGATGAGCACATTCCACGGGCCATCCTCGAGCGCATACGCGATCTATCCAACATCACCAATACACCAGAGCAAGGTCAAGCCGTCAGACAAGCGCTACATGACAGCATGAGCCCGCGTACAAGTACCTCTCTAGAGGACATCCTTGCGGTCATCGCAGTGGCTGGCGAGCAATTCTACGCCGCCGCTGAAGGACAGCGTCCATTGCATTCCGACAACATGGGAACATCTTCCAACACTAGAGTTCTGGTGCGCGCAGCTCGAATTGCTGCCGCACGCGCTGATCGAGATGAAAGGGGAAATTTGCTTAGGTACGAGGACAGTGTGCTTCGAAGCGCAGCTAGGCACCGGGAAGTTGAGCGGCTTGAACATATTATCGCGCAAAAAGAAAGGGATGCGGAACGAGAGAGTGAAAGGGACGATGACGTTGAAGAAGAGTGAGGTGAATAGATTGATGGGAATGTAAACGGTGACAAAGTCGTGAAGTGAGGGGGGTAGTTGGGTAACGCGCACATGAAATGATAGAGTCTAATGGTCATGCTTGAACGATATCTTCTCATGTCAGTGTCTTCTAGCTGAGTTAGTAAGACTCCCAGAGCTGTCTAGATCTATGCGCGATATATTTAGAGAAGATATTCAGGCTCTCATGTACTTGTCCCGATACTCAACTGCAAGATGCTATACCTAGGTAGACTTGTTTATCGCAATGCCACCAGGAAGCAATGCTCTCGGTAAGGCGAAGCGTCTTCGGAATGCGATTGCTTGGATTCTAGATTGCTCTACGAGAAACCAGTACCAACTGAATGCCTTTCGGGTTTGAGGGATAAAAGAACGAGTTTGTTTGGATGCAAACGATGGAATAAGATGGATATGTGAGGGCTTGTATATAGCCAAAGAGAGTCGCGAGCTGAGATCAAAGTTCACTCCGTCCCCAGAATAACTGCAATTGTTCACTTATCTCACCTTCCAGCCTTTACGATAAGATCGAAAGATACCAAGGATACCGATTTCAGAATGTCGCCGAAAGAAAAAACCACGTTTGGTCTCTCGCTACGGGAAGAGAATAGACGGAAAAGACAGAGGCAACAGAACGAAGGTAACGACAACGGCGGTAGCGGAGGGCCAGTCGTAACCACTACACCAGCGGCATCAGCGGCACCGGCAGCGCTGCATGTGGCTCCAGTTCAGGAGGAGGAGTTGCCTGTCGAATCTGCAGCAGAAGGAGGTGAAGGAGAGGAAGTGTCAGACCATCCAGCAAGACCCGACGACGATGTAAACGACAATACGGCTGGACCGCCGGTTACGAATGAGCTGCCTCCTCCTTCAAGGAGTGATGCGGATGCACCGGCGACTACGAGCGCACCTATTCTTCGTCTTCGTCCTTTTGCGGGTGGTGCAGCGCCTCCACCGCCTGCAGCCATTCAATCTGCCACTCTGACCGACCATCAGCGAGAGATGGCCGCTGTTGCTACGAACTGGGGTCCGGAGTTCCCAAGCCTAAGAGACTGTATAAAGGCAAATACTTGGTTCAAAGGCTCAATGGCGAAGATAACGGATGAGACCTGCGAAATAGAAACCCTTCGCAAGCTACGAGAGCTTTCGGATAAGACTCCCAATGGCGGCGCAACGATGAAGGAGCAGATGGACTTTCACTGGAGACAAAGAGATAAGCAAGGAAGAGTGGGCAGCACGCAGTCAGAGAAACAGGAAAACCTACGCGAGGATCTGCAGTTGCTGATTGATGGGAAGAGGATGAAGGAAGAAGATATACAGACGTACAAGGGAAGGCCCAAAGAGGATGGAGACGTATCGGCGCGCAAGAAGAACGCCAGTGGGAAAACACCAGACGTCTCTACGAAACGCGTTCGCAAGACACCACAAGACGACGACGACGACGAATCTAGCACGGGAGATAGTACCATACCCCACAACGGCCCTGTGGCAGCGCCAAAAGGCAAGGGAAAGGGAAAGGAAAGAGCGACTGAAGTACCGAGCGACGACACTGAAGTTATACCCTTCACACGCGGACAGCGAGACCTGGCGCTCGGCCAAATCTACGACAACTGGGAACTGACTTCGGACCAGCCACTTACCCAGTTCTTGCCAGGGCTGCTGCTTCCACCAGACGTGACTGACGACTCTCTCATCGACGGCAGGATTCTCGCGCGCATCCGTGATCTTTCCAACGTCACTAGAGGGCAAGCTCTCTTTGTCCGAGAGGCGTTGGCCAGCGCGATGAATGACTTCGTGGGAGAAAATGTAGAGCAAGTGCTCGACCTTCTCGCACAGGTTCGTGCTCAGCTTCAAGAGGCGATGCGAGTGCTGGACCGAGCATCAGAGGAGGCAAGAGCTAGAGAACAGGCGGAAGGACCGAGCCGTGGTGCTGTGCTTCCAGGACTAGGCGTCGCTGGTCCTTCCGCTCCGTCGTCAAGCGCAGTCACCATGCCACGCCCATCCCAACCCTCGCAAGCTCCAACGCAGCCTGCTGCACAACCAGGAGTGTCGCGTTTCGAAGACGGTGTGCTGACTATGGGATCGAACTGGACGCTACGCCGTGCTCTCAACGATAGCAGACAAGCCGATCAAGGCATTCAGACGGCTCGCCGTAGATACGAGCAGGCTGTGCTTAATGAACAGTCTGCTGTTGATCAAGCCGCTCTGCTGTTGGGGATAGAAGTAGCTAGAGGAGTGAGTAACGAAGCGTACGCGAGGACGGATGACTTACAGGGACGCTGGGTAGGAGCGCGATCGAGGCGGAGTACGATGGGTGACGGTCTTGGGGGTATTACCGGTGACGTTGGATTGGGAAGCGGCGCGCAGGCTGAGGGTACTGAGGAAGGTGAGGGTGGAGGAGGAGAGCAGGGGGAGAACAATGGAGAAAATGGTGGAGGAAATGGTGAAGGGGGTAGCGGAGGGAATGGTGGAGAAGGTAGAGTGACACGCAAGAGTAAGAGAAACGAGAAGGAGAAGGAGAAAGAGAAGCGGTAGCGGAATGACGTACCGTCAGCGCCTAGCGAACGTTGACAGACTAACAAGATATCATGTCACTCTCTTTCTATTGCACTAATAAAACTATGATGGGTCGTTATTTCATCAAGAGATGTGATCGAAGTGAACTAAGAAGTTCCAGTCTTTTGGGCCACACTTGCGTCTTCCCATGTCGTCCCAATGATGATAGCAACACAGCGGCACACTCCATCGCACCGTTATTCAGATCTTCGCTTGCTCTGCTGAACACTAGTACTGCTTTAGAAACTTTTGGAGCGATGTCTTGTTCAAGGTTCAAAGAGCGTGCTTGCTCGGAAACAAACATTGGAAAGAGATAGACATACACGGGACTATCTTAAAGTAAGCAGCGCCGTAAGTTGAAAGTACAGTCAAAGCAAGTCTTGAGACATCCTCAACGCAATGGCACCAAAGCGTGCGCCCCGTCCAAAAGGAGACCAAGACCCCAACGACACCACCGCTGACGCCCAGGAACGCGTTCAAGCGATCGCCGCCATCACGACAAACTGGGGCCAAGCTTTCTCCTCCATGCAACACTGGATGCACGACAACACTTGGCTGAAGGGCGAGACAGAAAAATTGTCGGAACAGACCTGCGAGATGGACACTATACGCGCATTCCGGACTCTGTCACAGAGCACTCGGAACTGGGGCCAACAAGTCAAAGACCAAATCCAACAGTATTACCTGCTAAGATGGAACAACCCGACGAAGAAGACGCCCATAGGGACTACAAAGGAAGAGAAAGAGAAGAATCTGCGCGAGGACTTAGCCAAACTACGTGCGGGGAGGTTTATACCGGAAGCGAATTGGAAAGAGAACAAGACGAAGAGACCGCGAGTGGGAGAGATTGGTGGGAAGAAGGCGAAGCCAAAGAAGAAGTCGAAAAAGGACGTTAGTAGGGAAGAGCGAGACGAAGACGAAGAAGAGGACGAGCCTCACCCACCACCCAATCCTAAGCCCGCGACCAAACCAGCCAACACTGGAGCGGTAAATGAGATCAGGCGAAGACTAAGATCGCATGGAAATAATGTTGCAGAGGGAGGAGCAGCGCAGACAGAAAAGCAAAAGAACAATGTGAACCAAGCAGACGACGACGCCGCCGGAAGCGAGCTACTCCAAGCCAAATCGATACATACACCAGAAGACAAAGACATGGCACTCATCCGCATACACAAAAATTGGGACATCGTCTCACTGCACCGCGACTTCCCAGCTATGCTACGCGGAGCTGATCCCAATGCCGCAAACGACAATGGCATTGAAGATGTCATCATTGAGCTCCTTCGCGACTTGTCCATTGTTTCTGCTACCAAAGAGCAAGCAAATGAGATCAGGGCGGAGTTGCAGAGACGCTTTGATGAGATGGAGGGGTATGATCTGAAGGCCGTTCACTCAGCCATCACTGTTACTGCCCAGGGCTACTACGAGGCGGCGGAGGCAGCGAAGGAGCTGTCAGAGCAGGGCAGCCAGATTACTGATGTGGATGAGCAGGTCCCCCGGTCGGAGATAAGTCATGAAGACGGGCAAGGCCCACGGCCAGAGGTAGCGCGGCCAGAGGCAGCACCACCAGCGGCACGACCAGACAGACACCGACATTACGCCGCACGAAGTAATGAAGCATCGCTCGAAATGCAAGAAGCTTGGGACGCGGTAGTAGTCGCCGAAGCGGCGGTCAAAGTAGCGCAAGACAAGCGTGTCCGCGCTGCTCTTCGGAGCGAAACTGAATACCAACAAGCAACCCGCCAGTTGAGAGTTTCTGAGGCGCAACTTCGGGCTGCTGAGGAATATGCGCGGGCGAGAAGTCTCGGTAGACCACAGAAAGTGGGTGAGACGGTTGGGCCGGGTGGGGATGAGCGCACGCGGAGACGGAGTGGTGATGGCGGAGATGTAGTGGAAGAGCGAGAGCAGAACCGAGAAGGTGGAGCTGGGGAGGGTGGAGACGACGAAGCGGGCGCTAGGGAAGGAGAAGGTAATGGAGAAGGTGATGAGAACGGAGGGGCAACCTAGAGTAGCAGGAGTGTCTATCCACACAATGTCGCGGACGTCGTAAGTAGCGCTACCTCCCGTCTCAAGATCTGTAGGCTAGAATGTTAAGATGTTGACATACACTTACGTTTCACATGCCATGTTAGCAAGTCAGAATGAAGAGACGAGATGCTTTCGCTACGTATACTTCGTCATACATGAGTGTCCGCGCGACAGCTAGTCGTCAGTCGACGCCGCCAGGAATGAACTATGGTGACAATACTCATGCTATGCAACTGCTTCGTTTGACCATTAGTCTGCGAGAAATTAGACCTGAGAAACCTTCCTGCAAACAGTGTTCCTTGTCCACCAACATCGTAAGCTTCGTGTATCGTATGGTATCCAGAACAAGGCCATGGCCACGAATGTACAACCACCAGACTAGTGACGCGGAACGCCTGCCATATCCACGTCCTCCATATCTGCCGACACCGGTGTGGGTATGCCGCCGGAAGCACTGGAGCGGCGAGTCCGAGAACCGACGTCCAACGTGGAGGATGAGCTGTCGCCACCGTACCTCCTCTGCTGGAGATCACGGAGGATCTTCTGGCCTTGAAGAAGAGAGTCGCGTTGTCCGACAAGCTCCATACGTTGATTGAAGCGATAAGAGGATTCCGAGAGGAGGCGCTTGGCGTTTTCGTAACCTGAATCGAAGCAATTAGCATATGCAGTCTCCCGTCTAGATAAGGGAAACTTACCTTCGTGGCCCTCGTTTAGACCAAGACCATTCTCAAGCTCGTCGCGGAGTTGAGTGCGGAGCTGCTTGTAGAACTTGGACTCTATTCGCATACATACCGCATCGTGAAAGCGGCGCACGGCGAGCATGTAGTAGGTAGTGACCTGAGCGACAACGCCTCGCTCGACGAGATAAGGCTCATGGTTGAATACCTCCATAGCCCTGACATCTTTCTTCAACCTCTCTTCTTCAGCAGGACTCATTGGCTTGCCTATGCGCTGCGCTCTGCTGTTCTTGTACTTTGTGAAGCGATATTTGAAGCGAGCTTGTTGATAGTTTTCTAAGACGGCCTCCTTCTCACATTCGAATATATCGTTATGAAAGATGTATGGTCCTTCCTTCTCGTCGTTGAGGCTCTCGTTAGCCATGGTAGTGCGCTGTTGGTCGAAGTTGGTTGCTAGCATCTCTTCAACGATCTTCCATGCGGTCTGATGGAAAGTTGAGCCTTGCCATTTCTTGAAGTGTTGGGTGAACAGGGTTCTCATTTGATCCTTAATCTGCTTTTCGAAAGCATCGAAGAACTTCGCAAGCGGCTGGTCCCAGTGTTCAAGCGTGCTGAGCATGAGGTTATCGACCACTCGTGGCTCGATCTGGCCTGGTACCTTCGACTGGGAGTGTTCGGACAAGTATTCAGTGACTTCGTCGAGAACGAACTTCTTCTTCAAGCCACGGAAGTCTGTCATCATTGGTTGTTCCTCCGGCGGTTTGGGCAGACCTCGCTTCGGTGTCTTGACTGGAGAAAGCCCTGGCATGCCGTCGATCTTGCGCTTCTTGGTAGGTGTCTCGGGATTGTTGCGCGCTGCAGACTCGCTATCGTCGCTGTCCTCTCCGTTATCGTATTCATCATCTTCGTCGTCTAGCGAGATAGCCTTGTTCGCAGAACTTCCCGGCTGAGAGTCCAGTACGTCTGCATAAACGCTTGCATCTCGACGTCCGCCCGTCGCCATCGTGGGCTTCATACTGACTAGCGCATCGAAGAAAGCGTTTTGCAGAAGCTTCCACTTGTTACGCCATTCCTTGCATGGGAATTCGGCTTCGAGCTCTTTACGAACCCCCTGTGAGAAGTCGAGCACGACGTCAGAGATGATTCGTGACGCGTTGTGGTTGGGAGGTTCAGGGAACTGTTGCAGACGAGCTTCCACTTCAGCAAGCCGAGTATCGATCTCATGCTCGATGACTGGGAGCTTCTTCGTTATCTGGTCGGCAAGCTTCCCCGAAAGGAAACTCTGGAGATTGAGAGTTCCGAATCGGTGTGCATAATCTTTGAAGGTTGTGGACCACGGGTCTTCTCCGCTGAAGAAGTGGTGCTCTTGCAACCGAGCCTCTTGATGTGTAAGGCCTTTGTTAAGTTCATCCTGTGCTGGGTTCTTCACAACGAAGTAACCGTGCCCTAGCGCGAACCGTTTCTGATCGAAGACTTCCATTAGTTTGTCGTGACGTGATCCCTTCGGCAGGCAGTCGGGTTTGGTGAGTACGCCTGGAAGCTACGTTAGCAAAAGCAGTTATAGACGATGATGTTACATACCAATGCATCTGTCAGTAGCCTTCAAACTACGCGCGATGCCAGCAGCGGTTGAATTGGCGATATCAGTCGCTAGCGAGCAGGTGACTAGTATGAGAGACTCGGCGTCTTTGACGTAGTCTACAACTACGTCACGAACAAACTGGATAAGATACGCTTCTTCTTCAATGTCGGCTTGGTTGATGAGACCAGGAAGATCGTAGAAACTTAAAGACGGTGAACCCGGCTGAGTGATGGAGATGCATACAATGTTCGGACTGAACTTGCATTTGTGATGTTCTCCAAGTGCGGCAAGACTCGGAAGCAAGAATTCATGGTAGTCAACGCGGGGACTAATAGTGGCCAGTTGTGCGCGGCGAATGATGTGCTCCAGGTTCTCAGGATTGTCGGTATCAGCGAAGAAAGCGTCGTTAGGCTGTGGTAACTGTATCCAACCGGGAAAGCGACGTTCGTGGCTTGGACCTGCAGGCTTGCCATCGTAACCAAAATTGCGTCGAAGTGTTACGGTCGCGCTCCAGCCTGCGCGCGGATCATCGGAGGACTCCAGCTTGATGAGAAGAGGGCATCGGGTGCATGTGTCATCGGCTCTCGGAGTCTTGATACCAGAGATGGCTTCAATCACTGAAGACTTTCCTGTAGATTGTTCGCCTAAGGATGTCAGCGAACAAAACCTTTGTATTATCTATAATTTGGTGACTTACCTAGCACGATGCACTTGGGCAGGGGAATGTCGTAGCGTTGCAAGCCTAAGGCCTCTAGTCGGCCAATTGTCGCAATGGCCTCCTTCACATGGATAGTAAGCGGATCGATTTCTCTAGAAGCAGGTGTGTTGATTGGATGTGTTGAGTCTACATTATTGTTAGCTGAATAAAATCTTGTTGTGCTGGCGCTTTACTCACCATCTTGCCCAACCAGGTGAAGCGGCTCGAGGCCCTCACTCAGACGCGATACGTCGTCACGCGCGGGGTGAGTGGCTGACGAAGGCATGTGCGAATTGCTTTGAGCGTCGAAAATAGCGGTACCTTCGAGCGGTGCGTCCGCAATGGTGCCATCGTCGCTAGGTGAGACTGGTCGCTTTACAGCCTCCTTACGTGTGCGGCCTCGAGTAGCACCCACCATTTTGAGAGGTTGTACAGAAAGTCAAATGGTGTAGAGGTAAGAGGTAAGTAGGTGAGAGAGCGTGGTAGCAAAGTTGATAACAACGAGAGCGCGAGCGCCAAGACTTGACTCTAGGCAGTAATCCAAGGTGACACAGACTCCAACGCATGGTCCAGGAGCAGCACACAAACGGAAACCATTGGACGAGCGTAGAAGCTCCAGGATGAGAGAGCAGAAATGTCGAGGTGAGCGCGAGTCTGGTACCACTTCTGGAGCGGTGAATGATGAATGCGTGATGCGCATGAGCTCAGCTTGCAGCGAGGAGGAGACATGAGTTGGATGGACGAGAGATGCTCGTACGTTACCTGGATGTAGGTCTGAGAACTCCGTCGAGAAATCATCTCTTTTGTACGCAGTCTGAAAGTGATGTCCAGGTCACACTCTCACCTCGGAGGCTATGCACATAGCCCCGAAGACAGAGTGCAAGGAATTGATGCTGAAGATATGGAAACGACAATAGTCAGAGTTAACGAAGAAGCCGTGAACGCATCGCGCGAGAGAGAGGCTGACAGAGAAGAGACTCGTCACCCATATGTCGAATAGCTGTTGATATCACGAAAGGAACTTAGCAGACATCGAGACGAATCAGTCTGGATGATGCAGTATGGATTTATTGGCCGTGCTGAATGCACAGTCGCAGGCGATGGGTGCTGCGCGGAGGAGCGATTCGTAGCTGCATTGTTCGACAGAGTTGCTATGGCTGACAAATGACAGGGATAGTAGCATATGACTCCATAAAAGCGAAAAGTTGATGCCGCATAGATGGTTCTGATGGTGAGTGACGAGACATGGCAGGAGGTTTGACGGCAGAAGTGGTCGCGGCAGTCCCGAAGATTTGCCGCTAGCGCCAAAGCAGCAAGGGTCCTCAAGAAATTCCATCGAAGCACATCGTCACCGGTGGCTACCGTCCGACCACGAGCTCGCCCACGCCCTCGCCTCACCCCCGGAATCGCCCAAAACACATCACATCCTCTAATAATACATAATGGATCATTCGCGCGATCCCTGTCCCTGGGTCATTCTCAATGACTTTGGCGGTGCCTTTGCCATGGGCGTATGTCCCCACCAGCGCTGCATCTTTGGGCCATATACTAATACCGCGTTAGGCTGTCGGAGGAGCAGTATGGCATGGTGTGAAGGGTGTAAGTATCTTTTCAACATCACAAAAACCTGCGCTTACAACCCATAGTTCCGTAACTCACCCTACGGCGAGCGACGCATCGGCGCCATCACAGCGATCAAAGCCCGCGCACCAGTTCTCGGCGGCAACTTCGGTGTCTGGGGAGGACTTTTCAACACATACGACTGCGCAGTCAAGGGAATACGGAAGAAGGAGGACCCGTGGAACGCCATCATCGCAGGATTCTTCACAGGTGGATCGCTCGCAGTACGAGGAGGCTACCGGTCGATGCGAAACGGCGCGATATCATGTGCCATTCTGCTGGCTGTCATCGAGGGTGTCTCAATTGGCTTCAACCGCATGATGGCCGACAACACAAGGCTCGATGCGCCCCCACCACCACCAGCCGACGTGGGTGCACCATCTGGCGGCGGCGGCATGGCTGT